GAGAGAGAGAGAGAGAGAGAGAGAGAATTTTTAATATTTATTTTTTTAGTTTTTGGTGGACACAACATCTTTGTTTGTATGTGGTGCTGAGGATGGAACCCGGGCCGCACGCGTGCCAGGCGAGCGTGCTACCGCTTGAGCCACATCCCCAGCCTCCCAATAATATTCTTTATAGAAACATTTTTTCTGGTCCAGGATTCAGTGTAGAAGAGTACCACTATTAGTTTTCATGATGCTTCAGTCTCTTTCTTTTTTCTTCTTTTTTGGTACTAAGAATTAAACTCAGGGTTTCACACATGCTCTGCAAGTGCTCTGCCACTGAGTTACATCTTCAGCACTTTTTATTTTGTTTTGAAACAGGGTCTCGCTAAGTTGCCCAGACTGGCCTTGACCTCGTGATCCTCTTGCTTCAGCCTCAGAAGTAGCTGATATTACAGGTGTGTACCACTGCACCTGGCCTTCAGTCAAGAAGTTTTTCATCTTTCCCTTATCTTTCCTGACACTAACTTTTCTTTTATTGGCAGTGCTGGGGCTGGAACCCAGGGCCTCACGTGTGCTAAGCAGACACTCTACTTCTGAGTTACATCCCCAACCCGTGACATTGACATTTTTGAAGAGTGCAGGCCAGCTATTTGGTAGAATGTTTCTTAATTTCTTCATGATTAGATTTTTATTGTACGTTTTTTGCATAAACAAATTATAATTTCCTTTTTGGTGAATCAGGGGTGAATCTACAATCTTTGTCCAAAATTGTCCCCCACAAGATATATTTTGGCTCATAGTTTTAGAGGTTTCAGTTTGTGATCAGTTTGTCCCACTGCTTTGGACCTGAGGTGTCACATAATGGTGGGCCTGTATATAGAACAAAACTGCTCACCTTATGGTCAGAGACTTTGAAGGAGAGGAAGAAGGCACTGAGGCCCACATCCATTTAAGTGCATGCACCAAAGATCTGAAGACCTCACTAGTTTCTGCCACTTCCCAACAGCCTCACGCTGGGGAGCAATCCTTTAATGGGCTTTTAGGGTATGCTCAGGATCCAAACTATAGCACCTGGAAACTCTCTAGAAGTTTATACGGAGGAACAGTCTTTGTTCGGATTGTTTAAAAATGTAACTTATTCTAGAGCTCATGCTATACCTACTCTTGGTCCATAAACCTTTCAATGGCTTTTCACCAAAAATGGGGAAGTCTATCTGGCTTGGTGGCACATGCCTGTTATTCCAGCAGCTCAGGAGGCTGAGACAGGAGGATCATGAGTTCAAAGCCAGCCTCAGCAAAAGCAAGGTGCTAAGCAACTCAGTGAGACCCTTTCTCTAAGTAAAATATTATTTATCAATGGCCAATATGTGAGTTGAACTTGGAGATATCTTGAACTATTTTAAATTTTATAGCCTATGCCAAATGGATGGTTAACCAAGGAGGGGGATATGAAGATACTGAAGTGAGAAGTGAGGTTGCCATGTGATGACAGTTTTGTTTTTAAATAAAATAACAGCTTTCTTGAAATGTAATTTACATACCATAAAATTCAGTCTCTTAGCCGGGCACAGTGGCACACACCTGTAATCCCAGCAGCACAGGAGACTGAGGCAGGAGGATTACAAGTTCAAAGCCAGCCTCAGCAAAAGCAAGACACTAAGCAACTCAATGAGACCCTGTTTCTAAATAAAACACAAAAAATAGGACTGGGGATGTGGATCAGTGGTCAAGTGTCCCTGAGTTCAATCCCCAGTGCCAAAAAAAAAAAAAAAAAAAAATCACTCTCTTTATCTATTTATGCAGTGCTAGAGATCTTTGTAGGCCAAGTATTCCACCAATGAGCTACATTCCCAGCCCCAAATTCACCTTCTTAGAATGTACAATTCTGTGTGTTTTAGTATATTCACAGTTGTGGTGATGCATCCATCGCCTGCGTCTACTTTTAGAATATTTTCATCATCACTTCAGTTTTACGAGTAACAAATTTGAGTTCTTCGGTGAAATGGCCAGAGGCAGAGCTGTCCAAATTGAACAATTTGGAGGGCTGGAAGGAAATTCTCCCAGACTGCAAGATTTGAAGGAATACAGAGATGCCAGAGACTGCAGGTGCAAGAGAAGGCGTATGTGGGAGGGTGTGGAACTAAAGCACAGGAGATTCCATGTTTGGATGGAGGAGGGTATCCTGCCCTGAGGCACCATATGAGCAAAGATTGTGGGTAGGATTGAGTTGAATGTATTTGATGGCCCCAAACTGCCTATATTAATTTAAAATGGAGAGTTCTTGAGCTAGGATGAGCAGGAAGGTTGGGGACCAAGGGTGGGTGGCTGGTGGTGGTGGTAAGCTTTATTCTGAAGTTATTTGTGCTGAAGATCAAAGCTTAAAATTGATCACAGGCCCTGTACAAGGCATCCTAGGGGACTGGTTTGTCTGATGAGATCTTGAGAATCTCTGGTTGAAACAACTGTACTTCTGAGTACGTGAGGGTGTTGGCAGGGTATTCAGGAGATAAGGAGAGATATTGAGAGAGGTGAATGGGCAAGTTTTCTAACAGTGTCCATCTGGAGATTAAACCAAAGCCAAAGGAGTCCCATGTCTGGGCCCCGACCTCCTTCTTTCTGGAAGCTGATTCACTCCCAGTTGCTCTCCCAGCTCGCAGTGTCATTAGTCCTCACCATCAAGCCCTCAGAGTGGGTCAGACTAGTGCTTCTCAGATTGTGTTGAAAGTCAGACTTGCTTTTATATTCATCACAGACCAGTACGTTTGTAAAATACAAATAACAATGAATTGCTAGAAAGATGAAAGTGCTTACCTAGCATGTAAATAAATAAAATAACGGTCCATCGACAACTTAAATTTTAAATAAATAAATAAGCGTTTGTCTCCAGTTCTGTATCGGGTCCCCGGACAGCCCCTTTGAGAAGAGAGTTTTTCCCAAGCGCAGACGGATGGTCGGGGAGGTGAGACTTCCTGGCGTCGCTCAGGTAACCCGGCGGGGCGGGACAGAACCAGGGCAGGCCTGGCTAGGGAACGCCCCCCTGTGTCAGAGGCCGGGTCTGGGCGGAGACAGTACCCCGGAGGCCAGCTGACCGGCCCAGGACGAGCTGGGGAGTCGGAGGGACCGCACGCTTGCCGCCTCCGGAGCCCGCAATCTGAGACCGTAAGCTCCTAGGACAGCCAGGGCCCGCGTTCCTAGGACGCAGACGCGGACGCGGATGCCGGTCCGCGCGCGCGGGAACCGCAACGGGGGCGGAGGGCGGAGGGCTGGGAATCGCGGTCCGCTTGCGCCTTCGCGCCAAGAGTGCAGTAGGACTTGCAGGTCACTTCATACTTCTGGGGCCAGTCACCCCCGGCTACCTCCCAGAACCGAAGGGCTTTGCTTGGCGCCCCTCGCACACAGCCATCCGGAGTCTGGCCCGCAAATGCACGCATCCCGGGGGAAGAGGCCTCAGCCGGTTTGGGACTTTGGGTTAGGAATTCCAGGGCCGGGACGGAGGGTGGGCATCCCAGGGCTGCTGACAGAGGAATGCACACGGGTCCCCTTGCTTCCAGGGGTGCGTCTCGCTTCCACAGTGAAATGAACTTGTCACTCAAGTCCTAATACTGATCACATTGAAAGATGTCTAATTGTCATCGCTGTCCAGCACCCGCCCCTCTCCACTTCCCTCTGGAGAGCAGCACAGCGCGCGGCGCAAGCAAGAAGAGACCGGCCGGAGGTTAAGAGTTCTAGTGTCCTAGAAGCCAGGGGCTGTGAGCCATCTGAGGAAAGCGCGGCAGAGACCCGAGTTGGGTCTGCCTCCCTCTCTGGCAGGTTCAGGTTTATTCCAAGCCATCCTGCTTAAACTGCTGGCTCGCCCCGCCTCTTCCCCACTCCCACCTCCATTGTTTACACTTGAGGCTCCACAAGGCCTAGATCCGCCCCTGAACACCCCCGCCCGCGCTAGTACTGAAGGATTTGGGGGCTCAGCAGGCGGGGTGTGGTTGTAAGAGAAAGGGTACCCATGCTTCTGGCACATAACCTCAGGGCAGTGCCTCTATTGCAATTTATGACCTGTACTGTGGGAAATTGTTGAGCCGGACATTTGAAGATTTATGTTTTTTTTTTTTTTTTTTTTTTTCCTGTGCTGCTCTGCAGCCTCCTCGGATTTCTGCAAAAACGAAAATAAACAGTTTCAGGAAGCCACACCACCCCAGAGAGTAACATTGTTTTCTGGTGTGATGGTTGCTTTTTTCAGAGAGGAGGAGCCTTTACTGGCCCCACTTGGGCTGATTTAGTTGGAAAGAAGGGGAAAACAAACAAACAAACAAAACAAAACTGTGTGTATTCAGCAAAATTTTTCTTTCCCAAATTTCAATTTTGAGGAAGGTTATGTGATGATTTCATGTTTTCTTGGGAATTGTGGACAATGCTTAGAAACTGGAGCACAGCAGGGAATGTGCCCTCATTGAGTCTGTAGTGTTTTTTGTTTGTTTTGGTGGGGGCAGTAAATAAAATTGTAAGATATAAATTATACTAGAAGATGAAATGTGCTATGGAAAAAAAAATAAAGCATTAAAGATAAAGGGAATGTTAGGTGAAAAGAGGGCCTTATGTTCCATTATACCTGGGGAGCTAGGGATCTGGGCTGGCTGCAGAAAGCCAAGAGAATAGTAAGACCCATGAGGCACGAGTGTGCCTGGCATGCATGATTTTATGTCCGGGTTTGTAGCGTATGGGCCAAGCTGGTCTGAATCACCCACGGGATAAACTAGCCCAGCCTGTAAGTGAGGACTGCAAGCTACTACTGCACCCCTCTTTCCAGAAAAAGAAGACCTTCCACAGAAAATAACTGCTCCACAAGGGAGTGAAACCCAACACCATCCACAACAAACTACTCCCATGCTCCCTGGGTGATCCCACTGCCTCTCAGCTATGCCTTAAGCAGGCTGGCTGCAGGCTTACAGATGTGGGGATGTCCGTGGTGAGCCCTGAGTGAGGGTTCTGTGGGCAGAGGGACCTTTAGAGAAAGGGCATCCTGACAATGCCCTCCCGAGCCTCGGGTGGTGCTAGGTTCCAGCCTAACATCCACATTCACTCAAGTGGGGACCCACAGGGAGCTCCTCTGTCACCATGTGAGTGTTTCTTCACCCATCCATTGAAGAGCAAACATGCCCAGGCATGGTCACTGCTCACCTCTCACCTTGATTCTTTTTTTTCTGGTATCTTGGCCCAGGTTCAGATAAATGAACAATAGAGGCTGTCCTCAGACTGTTTCTCAGTTCTCCTGCAGAGAGACTCAAAAGCATGAGCACAGCTGAGTGTAAAAATAAGAGTGGGCAGTATGTGCTGGCCACCACTGCTGAGGACAGAGCACAGAGCACAGCCACTTGGGACTGGAGTGAGCACTGCTGTGGAGGGCATGCGATTTGAGGGGCCTCTAGAATCTTGTGCTCAAAGCCCAGCTCTGCTAAGGTCACAGATCCTACCAATCAGTTCATTCCTTTGAGAAGTAACAGAGTGATGGTGATGTTGAAAGAGAAGGGCCTAGGAAGAAGACTCAGCTCAAGTCTCAGCTCAACAATTAAAATGGGTCCTCTCCCTGGACCTCCTTGGTAAAATGAGGGAGTCAGTCCTGACAATTGGCAAGTTTCCTTGCAGCTGTACTATGGGATGATTCTGTGGTTAAGAAGCCCAAAAGGATAGGAAATGTGTAGGCGGGGAGTGGTCAGTTTGGTTAAGGGCTTTGTGGTCCAACAACCTATGCAGGTTCCACTAAGGACGGCTGCAAATAAAGACCTTGGCTCCGAGTTGGGGTGAGGGACAACAAGCCTGAGACAGAGGTCAAGGGCTCTGGGTAGAGAGAGACAGGAGGGTCACTGCCCAGCCCAGCTGGCTATCCAAGGTCACTGGTGGGTGGTTGTGCAGTCAAGCCTAAGGGCTTTGGCAGAGACTCCTGTGGGCTGCGTGGTAGAGGGGAGGCAGCAACAGGAAGTAGTTCCCCAGCAGTTCCCCCTAAAGGGAACCAAAGCTTTGCCTAGAATTCAGCCATACCCTCTCCTGAGGGGGTGTTGGTGGGTGCTCCAGGAAAAGCTGTATAGTCCTATCCTTGGTTATATAACTAAAAGCAGGATTGTGAAATCAGGCTCACTGCTTCCTCTGCCATCATGGTTTATTTACTTTCTTGGGGGAGGGTCATCCTTTCTCCCTACAGAGAGCAGTGTTCACTCTCTCACAGTCTGGCCCTAACCATTCCTTCAGCCAGATCGCAGAGGCCCACTGACCCCCTGCCTGTGTCTCTCCTTTTGTTGAATGGCAAGGTAGCCCTGTTTAGTGCATAATCCAGCCATTGCAAAGCCACAAACGTTAGGTTGTCCCATGACTAATTGAGGGGGCTCACATTAAGGAAAAAAAATATTAATATTCCTCTATGAGGGGTTAAAAGACTTTCTAGAAAATGCTCTAGTTAACCTACAACTGGGACCATGAATCTTATTCAGGTCAGAAGCAGGCGTTTTTGCTACATTTAGCAGTTGGGAAGGTTGATGAACAGACAGAATATGAATGTCTTTGGAATTTACTAGCTGGGATAACTGGAACAAACAACCTAAACTCTCTGAGCTTCATTTTTAATTCTCTTTAAAATAGAAAAAGCTATCTCTTACTTCTGGGCAATTGTATTACACGAAACAATGAGGTAAGGGTCTTCCTATCCCGGTGTCACAGTCCAGGGCTTCTCTGGTCTTCCTCACAGAGGTGGTGGCTGTCCAGACACATATTGAAGCCCTGGAAGGGTCGAGTGTTTCTGCGATGTGCTTGGATATCTGGCTTAGCTGGGCCTTGGGCTCCGCCCCATGACCTGTGAAGGCTGTGAGAAGCCATGACCAGGAGCAGAAGGTTCCAGTGCCTTCATAGAGCATCAGAGAGCCATGCAGTACACTTCAGAGAGGCTGGGAGTAGACAGCCTCCAGCCCTCCACCCAGCTGAGGAGGTTAGTCCTCCACAGCTCAGGCTGAGCTTGGCTTTCCCTGTGGAGGAGCAGCCTGGGCTGTACTGGGGCTGATTTTGCAGTCACACATGTTACTACCTGCTTCTATTAGGGCTGAAGAGACTTAGAGCTTTTGGGCCCAGTGCATATACTTTCCCATTTTTCCAGATAGCATTGAGTTTCCCATTTCCAGAGTTAGCATTGAGGGGAAAGCAGACTTGCCCCCTTCCCTTTATGTGCCCCACAGAACAGGACTTCCAGACTGTCTCTGGAAGGCTGTTCTCAGGGACACAGTGGAACATCTTCATTTCAGAGTTGCCTCAAGAGTTTTTTATTGTGATGCTGGAGATTGAATGAACCCAGGGCCACGTAGATGCTTGGCAAATGCTGTACCACTGAGGCACATCACCAGCCTACCCTCAAACTAACCCCCACCAGGATAAAACAACCCAGAGGGCATTCCTGGGGACTCTAACCCTAGTCCTGAGGGCTGCTGGCCATGAAGCACAGCCAGCACTCTCAATACTGTTCCAGACAAGAAAGCCTGCTCAGGTTGCTCCATGAGGCCGGGTTACGAGAGCTATCCCGTTACATGCTATTGAGCAAGTTTTCAGACCAGCAAGCACATTGCGGAGGAAAAACCAACTGAGGGCAGAGAGGTGCAGAGTGTGGCTAATGGTGGGAAGGAAATCAAGTAGGTGTATTAGATGGCCCACTCCTATTATCCACAGAAATAGGAGTCTCTGCTCAGAGAGTGCCAAGGATTGAAAGTCCACAGAAAGGAATGCTTTTCCCTGATGGGTCATGAACTTGCTCCACTTGGTTCCCCACCCCACCCCCTGGTAACTTAAAACCAGTGGAAAACAGAGTAACTCCTATTTTAATTGGCAGTATGAGATGGGACAGGGCTTCAAATGAAACTCCAGAGCATTCACACATGAACCTTATAAGTTGGAGTCTCGTACCCTTCTTGCATTATAGGACTTAAAACCTGCATGGAGGTATCCAGGGGAAGAAAATAAAAATGGGGTTTAGGTGTAGCTCAGAGGTAGTGTGCCTAGCATGCATGAGGTCCTGGGTTCTAGCCAAAAAAATAAAAATTTTTTTAAATGGAGTAGTTTGAGGAGCTGGGGTAGTAGCTCAGTGATAGAGCGCTTGTCTAGTACGTGTGAGGCACTGGATTTGATCCTCAGCA